TTAGCGAGCCGTCTGAATGAGTTCAGATGCAGTCGACAGTTTGAACTTCATTGTTTTTGTTTTTCCCCCTCAGGAAGGATTATAAAATATGCATTTACTTATTTTTTTATCCCTAAACCTGGCAGTGTTTTCTGCTTCACTTCTTTCTTTCCACTCAAGGTTATTCTTTGTGCAACTTCCATGGTGATTTACTGATTGTTGTCTTACTAAAATGATAAGATTATCATTCCATCTTGACAGGCTTTGTTTTTTTTTTTTTTTTTTACTCTTTGTTTTGTAAAACATAGTAATTATTTATCCTATTTTCACTGGTCATTGTTTTGCTTTGTTTTTCTTTTTAGGTTTTTCTCTGCTTTTTGTTTTGCTTAGTGTTTTGATCTGTTTCTCTTTTGCATTTTAAAGTTTTTTCAATTTCTGCTTTTGTTCTCACAGTGCTTTTTGTTTTTGCCTTGTTGATTGTTTTATTAAAAATTTGATATGTTTTGACTTGATTAGGCTCTGTTTTTATTTTTCGTTTAGTTTATGTTCCTTTGATGGTGGTTCATTGATTATTCTTATCTCGCTTTTTTTTTTTTGTCGTTTTTGTTTTGTTTTTTGTTGTTGCTTGTTTTTCAGTTTTTTTTTAGTTTAGGTATTTTTATGTTCTTCCTATGATGATTTATTAATTGTTTTTATCCTTTAATTTTAATCTTGCTTTGGTTTTTGGTTTGTTGTTTTTGCTTTTTTGTTTTGACTATTTTGTTGTCCTTTTTGTTGTTTTTCAGTTTATTTATTGTTTAGTTTTGATTGTGAGTTTTTTTTATCTTTTTTTATTTTGCTTTGGTTTTTGGTTTGTTTTTGCTTTTCAGTTTTTTTTTTTGTTTTTTTGTTCTTTTTTGTTTAGGTATTTTTGTGTTCTCCATGGTGATATCAATTGTGTTTTTTTTATCCTTTATTTTGCTTTGGTTTTTGGTTTGTTGTTTTTGATTTATTAGATTTTTGTTGTTGTTTGTTTTTCAGGTCATTTATTGTTTAATTTTGCTTTGATTTTTGGTTTGTTTGTTTTTTTGTTTAGAACTTGTTCTGTGTTTTCCTTTTTGGGTTTATTAAACTTATGTTTATCTTCTTCTTACTGCTCTCTTAATTTTATTCTAGATTGTTCTTTATGTAACATCCCTGATTTTATGTCAGATGTTGTGCCTTTACGACTTGTTTTGCTTTGCTTTTGTTGTTGTTTAGTTTTTGTGTTAGATTTGTTTTGTTTTGCTCAGCCTTTTAATGTGAAGTGGGACGCTGACAAGTAGGTGCAGATCCAAAAATTTTTTTTAGCAGTTTATTAGCGGGACGGTCAGGCAAAGCAACTGTCAATACAGGGGCAAACAGATGCATACAGGGAATCCAGAGACGTGGTCAAAACTCAGGAGAAAAGTCAGTACAGGAAGACAGCAGACAATGTAAACAAACAAAACAACAAAGCACAGGTCTAACACGGAAAGGCAAGGAAAATGCTTCCTAATATTCACAAACCGTATAACAAGACTCAGGCCCCATTTACACTAATGAGTTCTAGTTTTAAAATGCATAAGTTTTGCTACGGTTACGCCATCCATCCACACTACGGCAGAGTTTTCAAGCGCCGAAAACGGAGCGTTTTTGAAACACTGGAGAGGCCATTTTCATTTTGAAACGCTGCTGCTCCGTCTCAGTGTCATTTGTGTCATTGCGTATCCTTCCCTTATTCGTCAAGCCCCTGTCACATGACCATAACACATTGCTTTAACGCTACCGAAAGACAGCAGACCAGCCTTCACTGTAAACAATAACATGGACACAGAAATGGGAGCATTGTTTGCACTATTGTCTGTTTTAAGCGCCATTGTGCAGTTAAACTGCCTTTTTTTACTACAGCAGCTGCATATATTCGCTAGAATGCACATGCCCAGAGTGCGCAAATGGTCACGTGATATACGTTTTTGGTGGCATAGTGTGGACGGAGATATGTTCAGAAACGTTTTCAAACTAAAACGCATTAGTGTAAACAGGGCCTCAGTCCAGATTTGTGTGTGTGCGCTGTATTTAAAGTCCTTGTTATCAATCTTTGAAAATTCTCCGGCTGTTTGTTTGCAATTGGTCAGGATAAGGAACCGGTGTGAGTGTTTGTGGTGCTTGACTGGAACTTGTAGTCCATATACTGGTGGATTTGTAGTCCTTATAGCAATCCGCATGTATGCCAGCGATCTGCAAGCATATAGATTGCTGATGATTGCGACAAGCTCACTCTCGCTTTACATATTTGTTTTGTTTTACTTTGCGTTTTTCACATTGTTTGTTGATTGGTTTTGTTAGATTTTTTTTCATAATTTGCTCTGCATAAATTTTTGCTCTGCATTTCTTTTATTTTCTTAGAGTCCATTTTGGTTAATACAAGTGCATTTTGTTTCACTTTTACTTTCCTCTCAAAATTGTTTTTGTTTTGTTTTGTTGTTTTGTTGATATTTTTTTTGTTGTTGTGTTTTTTGTTGTTTTGTTTTGCTTTGCTCAGCTGTTTTGTTTTGCTTTACATTTGTTTTGCTCTGCTTACTATTGCTTTACATTTTTTTGTTTTGTTTTGCATTTTTTCCTTTTTTTAATACAAGTTTATTCAGCTTTTTCTTCTTTCTTTCCTCTCAAGGTTATTCTCTATGTTCCTTTAATGGGGATTTATCGCTTATTGTTCTGTCTCAAAGATATAGTTCCTCATCATTTCCATCTGGATCTACACTGTGTCTCCATCAAAACACAAACTTTTCCAAAAAAAAAAGAAAAGCAAACACTTTTCAGTCTGATCTCCTCACTTTCTCTAAGTCAGCCTCATTGCTCTTGCTGATGTTCCTGGACTCTGTTATTTCTATATTCAGCAGACGGCTTCCAGCTCTTTGCGCGGCTTTGCTTGTCACGGCTAGTTAGCTTCAGTCTCGCACACTCCGATGAGGAGAGATGGAGAAAGAGAGCAAAAATGTGATGTCTGACCTCTGAGCCCGGGTCAAAATCCACATTTCTGCCTTTTACAGCCCTGGGTAGAATTTGTTCTGAAGGGCTGCTTTGAGACAGCCTTCATGTTTCTTTAGATTCTGGACACAGCTTTTAAGGAGAAGATCAGAGAGCTAAACTGACCCAAACTCATAAGATGGGTCACATTTTTTGTGGCCTATACATGTGATAAATATGCTTGTAAATCCTAAAATATGATGTATATTGTGGCATTATTATTGATCAGTTCTTTTTTGTACTTCAGTTTTAGTTTTTTTATGTTTTTGTTTTTTGTTTCTGTTTTTTTTTCATTGTTGCTTTGCATTTGTTTTTGCCCTTTTTCCAGTTTTTCTTAGTATATTATTATTATTATTATTATTATTATTATTATTATTATTATTTATCTTTTTTTGCAGTTTATTTAGCTTTTATGATTTTTTTTTTACATTTTAATTCTGGAATATATGAATGAATTAATAAATTAATTAAATAAATAAATAAAGTATAAATTATTATTTTTTAGCATTGCTTTGTTTTGTTTTGCTTTGGATTTGTTTAGTTTAGTTTATATGTGTTTCTGTGATTTGTTTTGCATAGTTTTCTTTGCATTTTGTTTAGCTTTTATGTCTGTTATGTGTTTTTTATGTCATTTTAAAATTTTGCTTTCCAACACGCTTAGGATTTTCTTTTTTTATTTTGCTATTCTGCTTTTGCTTTGATTTGCCTTTTTTAGTTTTTCTTTGCTTTTTTGCCTATAATTTTATTTGTTTTGCATTGCTTGATGTTTATGAAAAATGATTTTGTATAGCTTTTATGTTTTGCTGCTTTTTGTTTCACCTTTATTTTTGTTTAGCCAATTTTTTTTTTGCCTTGCTGTTTTTGTTTTGCCTTTTTTGTTTTTACTGTGTTTTATTGTTTGCTCTTTGTTTTTGTTATATTGTTTTGTTGCTTTTTTATTTAACTTGTTATTGATGTGTTTTGCATTATTATGTGTGAAATGTTATTTTGTTCAACTTTTATATTTTTATGTTTAGTTTTATTATATTGTGTTTAGTTTACTTTGTATTTTTGGTTCACTTTGCTTTTGTTTTACTTTGCCATTTTTATTTATTTTTATTTGGTTTTTAGCTTTTTTATTTTTATTTTATTTTTTATTTTGTAATGCTGTCTTGAATTAGTTTTTTTTTTTTTGCAATTTTTGTCTTTTCTTTTTGTTTTTGCTTTTTTGTTATTGATGTGTTTTGCATTATTTGTTGTTTAGAAAATATAGTTTTGTTTAGTGTTCATGTTTGCTGTTTTTTATTATTATGTGCTTAGTTTGTATTTATATTTTTTGGTTTGCTTTTTGTTTTACTTTGCTTTGATTATATTTTGCTATGCTGTTTTGTTTTTTTGTTTTTTATTTTTGATTTTATTCGTTATGGATGTGCTTTGCATTATTTTTTTTAATGAAAGACTGTATTGTTTAGCTTCTATGTAGTTCTGTTTTATTTACAATTTTTTTGTAGGTTAGTTTTTCTTTGTATTTTTGTTTTGCTTTTTTATTTTACTTTGCCATTTTACTTTTATTTGCTTTGTTTTAGTTTTTGATTTTATTTTGCTATGCTGTTTTTTCTTTGTTACCTCTGTTTTTTCATTGCTATTTGTTTTAATGCTTATTTGCTTTTATTTGTTATTGATGTGCTTTTGCATTATTCGTTGTTTATAAACGATGATTTGCTGTTTTGTTGTATTAATTTGTTTTGCTTAATTTGAGCTCTGTTTCTTTTTTATTTAATTTTTTTTTGCTTTTTAATTATTTAGCTGTTTTACTTTTATTTGCTTTTGATTGGATTTTGTTCTGCTATGTTGTTTTGGACTTTTTATAGTAACCTTTTATTTTAGAAAATTATATAAAAACACTTTTACTGACAATTTGTGCCTGATATTTCGTTTCTTAACATCTATGAATCTTGGATTGAATTTATAACCCTTTTCTCTCTCTCTCTCTCTCTCTCTCTCTCTCTCTTCAGAGTCTGATGTGGCGGACTTCAATGGAAGGAGCTCTCTACTGTATCGGTTTAACCAGAAATCCACCAGCACGGTGAAAGACGTCATTTCATTGCGGTTTAAGAGCCAACGAGCTGACGGGGTCCTTGTGCACGGAGAGGGACAAAGGGGTGATTACATAACGCTAGAGCTGCACAAGGGCCGGCTTGCCCTGCATATCAATCTGGGTGAGTAAGAGCCCTCTATAGCCTTTTAAACTCAGAAACCAACAGCCTGACCTAAAAACATGCCCTGTGCAAGCATGGAAATGCAGTTGCTTTGGAAAAAAAAAAAATTTTCTTACGAGAAAACGTAAGTGTTTTACATTTTGTCAGTTCAATGGCTAATTTGTACAAATTAGAGTTCACTCGTACAAAAATGCATGATTTTAAAAAGTAGGCGTTGCACCCAAACCCACTCCTGAACCCAACCACTGGGTGTTGAGCAAATCATACTAAATTGTACAAATGAGATCATACCAATTCATTCGAATTAACCACTAAATCAAAAAGTTATGAATTGCCATGAGATTTCATTGGAATTTTCTGTAACAAAATGTGTTGCAATCTCAGTGTTGCCACAAGGGGCAATAAATCTATTTTTAAGGGAATCCGATGCAAATGTCAACCTCGCCATAAAAAAACAAAACAAAAGGAAACGGTTTCTTAGTTTTTGGCGTAAGCAAGTATTTCACAGTACTTTAGAAAAATCTAAAAATATATCTGTCAATGTTTTCAAACTAAAAATTTAATTTACCAAAGTCACACAAGTGTCAATTTCACATCTGTTACATCCATAACGGAGAGATGTAACATCCATAATGAATATTTTCCTCATGAATGCAAAAATATTAAATTAAATCCGTCATGGTTGTTCTATAGTGAGCCAACACTTGTCTTTTTGATTAGCATGATTTCTTGTGGATTGTGCAGTTTAATTCACAGAATTTTCACAAGACATGTTGTATACTGCAAACTTGCATACTTCTTTCGTCACATCCATAACGCATGTTTATTTCCCACGTTTAAAGTACAAACCATGTTTACAGATTTATATTTTTCTGGTATCATAACTCTGGGATGATTTGTCCTGAAAAATATAATCAGATATTTCAATATAAGATTTACATAGACGTTTTATGTGAATTAATGTTTTAAGTTTTTACTGCAAAAGTCACATCCATAACACTGGATTTGCTCTTTTCTATTGTTTACACTTTTTGTTTTGAACTTTTTTATTTGTTGAACTTATATTTTGTTTATTTTTGTTTTATTCACGATTATATGATATTCAGTAGTGAATCTCATTTAATTTAGTGAATCATTTTTAAACTAACGTCATTTATTTGTTATAAATGTGTTGTAACTTGCACTACAGTGTGAGATTAGAACATTTATTAAAATGTGTGCATGTGCGTGTGTTTAAGCTCACCATGGCTGCTTTTACATTATCAAACTAAATAAAAAATTGTGACATTGTTACAATTTCAAATAACTGTTTTATTATGAAATGTAGTTTACAATTTAAATAGTTTTAAATAGGATTTTTCTGCTATTAACAAAACTATTATTATTATTATTATTATTATTATTATTATTGTTGCTGTTAGTGTTTTTGTGGAAATTTCGATACAATACTATTAAAAAGAACAGTATCATTAAAAATATATTTATTTTTGTTCATTAATGACATTAAATAAAGTTTTATTGTCAGGGTTGGTGAGGGGAAATTGGGAAAAAGGAGCGAGGACTCAAATGCAGAGAAATGGGAATTTATTAAATAATAAAGATAAAATACAATACAAAATAAACTACGCCGAGGGGAAAAACATTGCCAAAACACACAAACAAACTTCTCTGGGCTGGCTGGTAAGGAACAGGGCTGGACAGACAGGACAAGGCTTCAAATGACGACAAGTGATGACATGTGATGACGAACTGACACAGGACAGCAGACATGAGGGGTTTATAAGCTGTAGAAAATTAACACACAAATAGATGAACTAATAATGGGTTAACAAGGAGGGTGGGACTAGATCAAAGACTGAAGAGACAACACAAGCCATGCGCTCACATAAAACAAGACTAGAACACGCAGCTAATGATATAACTTATTAACCGCGTGTTCATGACAACACAAGCATGCAATGCATGTAAACACGCACCATGTGCTAAACACAACACCAACAGAAGACTGCACGCAAGACACGAGTACACGATAAATGAAAACATTCACCGTGTAGTCACACACGCAGCATGCATGTTTCATCCCAGCGCCGAACGAAACAGAAACCAACTGGACTGAGACGCTGGGAATGAAACACCACGCTGCAGACGTACAAACGTGAACACCCGGACGGGAGCGTGCACTTGCAAACACGCAAAGACCTCACGCACACGCATCAAGCGGGGGCATGCACGGTCCATGCGCGTTCACAAATGGCGCTCATACAGAGACACAAACAATGACAAAACAAGTGCTCGACCCAAGAAAACTCGAGCCTAGCACAACAGGACAGGAGTAGACAGAGCTAGTGTCCGGACTCTGCCACCAAAACAAGAACTTACAAGACCAGAGTGGCAGAACCCTGACATTTATAAACTACTTTCTAGAAGATGGTTTGATTCATCGTGGCTGGTCTTGCAATAATAATCATTGCTAGCCCAGTCAGATTAATTCTAGCCTCCAATAAATAAACCCATCATTCTACCTTCCTTATCTTTGTTTTGAAATATCCCCCCACTCAATCCTCCCATCCACCTTGAACCCCCTGTCATGCTAAATATGAAGGAATAACACGCTTCAACATTGATATTTACAAGAATTATTCAAAAAAACAGTTTCCCAGTACTGGGTTGCAGCTGGAATGGCATCCGCTGTGTAAAACATAGTCTGGATAAGTTGGCAGTTGATTTCGCTGTGGCAACCCCTGATAAATAAAAGGACTAAGCTAAAGGAAAATTAATGAATTAGTTAATAAAACATGAATACCAGTAATAATCAATCGTTTTAGAACATCAAATCAGCATAATATAAGGACTTTCTGAAAGATCATCTGACATCTGGAGAAATTATAATGAAAATAAATGAGAATTTAAACTTCATTCAAAAACAAAACTGCTCTTTTTTACAGTTTATACTGTATTTGTTTAGGCAAATCTTACTAATCTCGAATTTTTGACCAGCACCGTACATTACAAAATACAAAAATATCTGATATAAAATAACTCCAATTCAAAACACTTCCAAAACTATGAGCTTTTCGCAACTGCTTTTCAGCGGCGCCATTTAGATTATTCCACATCTTTATATTTGCAGAGCTCCTCTATCATTACGACAAGCTAAAGTGTTCGCTAGACACAATCCTAGCATCTTAGCATAATCACATGAGAGGCGGTTTTGAAACAAAGATTTGATTAAGAGGCCAAATCTGTGGCGTAATCACATATAAGTGTATGGAGCTGTCAAAAAAAGAGCGGCCTAATGTAGAGTCCCGGAGCTTTTCTCAGCCTCCTGTTTCAATTAGCATCAGCAGTCGGATGGAATAAGTTGTACGTTATGATAAGAGCCACGGCGAGCGCTGATTGCTAAGTATAACCCAGATGATATTATGTTGATGCTGTTTATCAGGACAATGTTCTTTTTTTTTTTCTTTTTTTTTTTTTCTGGTTGCATTTGCATTTGCCCTTCATCTGAAAGCCACAAGAAGCTCTCCAAACTAATTTCCAATGCTGGGTTTTTTTGTCACCTTTATGGGTAGAAGAAAACAAAATACATCTGTTCAGTTCTTCACTTTAAAATTGTGGCTTATAGTTTGTGTTTTAAGGATTATTAACTGTTATTGTTTTATGTAAAGGTAAATAAAGTCTTACTGATCTTTCTTTATTTATTTTTTGGCAACATATTTAAATGGTTTAATACATAATCACAAGCTATGCATATAAAGCCCACCCCTCACCCCACATCACTCTTACTTCTGAAAGTAATAGTAATCAATATATATAAATAATGTCACAATGCAATGAAACCAGTTATTTTATTTAGTAACTTGTAGTAATGTTTTTGTATTTTGGAATGAAATAAAAGCTATTTATTTGTTTGTGTTTGTATTATTTTCTTTGTTTGTTTGTTTGTTTGTTTGTTTGTTTGTTTGTTTGTTTGTTTGTTTGTTTGTTTTTTTATATTTGTATTTTTCCAAAATGTGTTTTAAAAAAAATATTTATTTATTGAAACCATTTATTAAATTATGTGTTTGTTTGTTCATGTAGCCTATTTTTTTATTTCTTTTTATTTTTCAAATGTATTTATTTATTTATTTGTTTGTTTCTTTGTTTGTATTTGTTTATTTTTTTTCACAAATATTTTAAAATAATTATTTGTTTGTTTATGCATTTGTTTTTATGTATTTACTTATTTGTTTGTTTTTGTATATTTGTTTGTATTTCCAAAATTATTTAAAAAATATATTTATTGAAACTATTTATTTACTTAAATTATTTCTTCATTTATTTGTTTGTTCATGTATTTTTTCTTTCTTTTTTTATTTTATTTTATTTTGTTAATTTTTTTATTTACTTGTTTAATGTATTTGTTTGTTTGTTTATTCATGAATGTGTTTGTTTTTATTTTTCCCATAATATTTTAAAATAAACATTAATTAATTAATTCATTCTTTCAAAGTGATACTTTATCAGAACAAGGATATCTTCTGCAGGAAAATCTGTTCGTTTGGTTTGGGTTTGATAAAGTATTAACTGCTGGTCAATATTGTCTAACTAATAATGTTTAATAATAACACAATTCAAATTTAACCTACTCTTTGCAACCTTTTTTGTTTTTACATTACCACTCTTATGTCTAAAATTGGATGCTTACCTTTTTTTTTTTTTGAGGATCATAATTTTTTTACATCTTTCTTTTGATTTTGGTGGTGAAATACGAGCTGAACATGTTCCTGACAGGCTTCTTTCACTTTGTGGAGATGTGCGGTTTTCTCTGTTCTTTTATCATCGCGACGACAGGTTTCTTTCCAGGAAGTTCAGAAGGATCAAACAGAGGAGACGGCACACGGCACACCTTTCCCAAGCTATTTATGGCTGCTTTTATAGATGCGTGCTGAAAAGAAGACTGTTTGATAATATTCTTTATAAGGTTGCCCAGTATAAAAAACACTTTAAATTTAGCAACTGATCAAAAGTTCCAACAGCAATGTAGATACTGTTTCATTTGGTAGCATGATTGAAACAAAACAAAAAAGGATTGAATGTACTCCTGTTTCTGAGTTGTTTGTAAGATTAAAAATAGTGCTGGGCAAAGATTAATCACATGCAAAATAAACGTTTGTTTTGACATAATATTTGTGTGTGTATTTTATATATTTCTTATGTATATGTGAAACACACACGCAAATAAACAATTTTGTTGCATAGATATTTAAATTAATATATAATTAGTATTTTTTATATATATATATATATATATATATATATATATATATATATATATATATATATATATATATATATATATATATATTATTACATATAAATATAAATGAAGGTTTTCTCAAATATATGCATCCCTGTGTGTATCCATATATACATAATACATATACAAAGAGCACACAAATATATTATGTCGAAACAAACTTTTATATTGTATGGGATTAATTGCGATTAATTTTTGGCCAGCACAAACAAAAAATTATACTAGAAAAAAAATGCGGATAGTGGAAGTGTATGGATAGATGTGAGTGATGGAGGAGTTACTGAAGGATGGATATACATTATCTGTATGGGTGGATGGATGAGTGTATGAACGAGTGAATGATTGGATGGATGAGTTAAAGAGAGTGAGGATGTATGGAGGGATGGATGGATATACATTATCTGTATGGAAGTATGAATGCATTACTTGATGAATGGATAAGTGTATGAACCGGTGAGTGATTGGATGGATGAGTTGGAGAGTGAGGATGTAGGGAGGAATGGATGGTATACATTATCTGTATGGAAGGATGGATGCATTAATTATTGATGAATGGATGAGTGTATGAATGAGTGAGTGATTGGGTGGATAAGTTAAAGAGAGTTAGGATTTATGGAGGGATGGATGGATGGATATTCAATTTCTGGATGGGTGGATGGATGAGTGCATGAACAAGTAAGGGATTGGATGAGTTTAAGAGAGTGAGAATGGGTGGATGTATGAGCGAGTAAGTGGGTGTGTGATGGATGGATGAATAAGTTGAAGGTTGAGTGAGTGGATGAGTGATGGATGGATGAATAAGTTAAAGTTGAGTGAGTGAGTGAGTAATGGATGGATGAATGAGTTAAAGTTGAGTGAGTGGATGAGTGATGGATGGATGAATAAATTGAAGGTTGAGTGAGTGGATGAGTGGGGATGGATGAATAAGTTAAAGGTTGAGTGAGAGGGTGAGTGATGATAGATGAATAAGTTAAAGTTGGGTGAGTGATGGATGGATGAATAAGTTGAGAGGTGAGTGGGTGAGTGATGGATGGATGAATAAGTTGAGAGGTAGGTGAGTGAGTGGGTGTGAGATACGTGGGTCATTGAGTGAATAATGGATTGATGTATAAGTTAAAGTTTAAGTGAGTGGGTGAGTGGTTGATCGAAGAAGAATAAGCTGAAGGTTGAGTGAATGAGTGGATGGATTAGAGATGACTGGGTAAGTGAGTGAATGATGGATTGAGGCATAAGTTAAAGGTTGAGTAAGTAAATTGATGAATAAGAGAATGAGTAAGTGAATGAGTGATTAGATAAATGGATGAAAGGTTAAAGGCTGAATGAGTGGATGTATGAATGAATGAGTCTGTGAGTGAGTGATGGATGTATGGATAAATAAGTTTAAGGTTGAATGAATGAATGAATTAGTGAGTGAGTGAATAGATGAGTATATGAATAGATTTTTAGATTGAGTGAGAGATAGATGAATGAGTGAGGTAATGGAGTGAGAAAATGGATGATTGATGCTTACGTAAGTTTTTGAATAAGCTGAACGGTTACTGTATAGATGGATTGATGAATAGCCCTTTGGTAAGTAAGTGGATGGTGATGGAGTGAGTGAATGGATGAGTGAAGGTAGAGTGTGAAGAAGTGAGTAAGCATATGTATATATTATTAGATTAGAAATAGGTAAGTGATTAAATAAGCATACAAATGGGTACTTGGATTGGGTACTTGTTTTATAAATAGATTTACTAAGGTAATGGATGAATGAATGAGGGGATAATTGTGTGAGGATTTTAAAGTAATATATTACTGGCCAAAACATAAACACTGACCAATTCAAAATATGAACACGCAGACGAACAGGAACTGCAGTAAAGCTGTTCTAAGAGGAATTCTGGTGATGGAAATGCTCAAACTGAATTCTTTTCTCTGATTGTGTTTTTGTCTGAAGACGATGCTAAGACGCACCCAAGCAGCGGCCATGTGTCAGTGTTTTTGGGTGGTCTTCTGGATGACCAGCACTGGCACTCCGTCCTGATTGAGCGATTTAACAAACAGATCAACTTCACTGTGGACAGACTGACCAAACACGTCAGGACGGGTGGACTGGACGATTCTCTGGAGGTCGATTATGAGGTGAGAATGTTCTTAATTACTTGTCTTGTTCTAGTTTGTTTGGTTTGCATATGAAATTGTGTTCTTTTGTTTTTTATTATTGAGTTTTATTAAGGACATTTAAAATGAATGTTTTTAGAAGATAATTATGTCTTTTAAATATAAAATATGACTAAAACTTGTGATGGATTAAAGATTTTTTTTTCGGCCAGTGAAATGCTACACTTAGTTTATAATAAATTGTGCATATTTTATTAATATTTACTTGAAACAAAGCCTTGGTAAATAGTTTAATCATTTACAACTTTTCAATAGAAAAATGTAATTACATTTTTATTCACTTTGCAAACTCTTTTGTTTGTTTGCTTGTTTGCAATAATGGAAATAAATGTTAGTGTTTTTTAACAGTTTTTTGTATATATAGATTTTTCATTTTATTTGATTGATTGATTGATTGATCTAAAACATGTAGACATTTAGACATATCAAGAAAAAACTAGCTTGATTTTAAATCTGAAGATGTAGTCTCAATAATTCTTCATCCCTTTACCTATAAAATGGCTACCAAGAATACATTTTTAGTAAATAGAATGTATTACATATTTTAGAGATAATAAATGTAATAATGCATTGGCTAAATTGATTGACAGCAAACTAATTTGATATTAATTATCATCATTATATATATATATATATATATATATATATATATATATATATATATATATATTTATTTTTTTTTATTATTTTTTTTTTTAAATAAGATGAAGCAGTACAAGAGCAAGTACTTACTCGCATACATTACTTTTTTTACTCAAAGTTCATAAAGTTCTGCATATTTCCTATAGGTCTGTATAAAATATGTCGGTGACACTTTACTTTAGGTCACAGTTCATGCTACTGACTTATTACCTGCCGATTATTTAGCCATCAACTGTTCATTAGTAGGTATAAATCCTAATCCTAAACCTATATAAGCTAAATAGTAGTTTATTAAGCTAGTAGTGTTAGTTAACCCTTTCACACATGAATTTTAAATACTCCAGTTGACCCTCCTGCATTTTTTTTTTTTCTTTGTGACCCCTAAAGTTCTAAGTTCATCATGTGACCCACAAGCACCGGTGATCTATGTATATATTGTTTTTTGTTTCTTTTTGTAAATTTTGACAAATATTCTAATTATATTGTGACATTTCCGACACTCTGATTCTCAAATGTGATAAAACATACATTTTGTCTTTTAAACAGCTTAATAACAGTCGTATTATTTGTTACATGATGGCTAATGGGCACTGCAGTTGTTGCTAAATGGCATACAGTCTCGATTGGAAGTTTACAAGATGTATTTATATTAATAATTGAATTACACCTTAATTGTATTTTATTTGTCTATACCTCTACCTAAATCCAACCCTCACAAAAAATATGCTATATTGACGCGAATATCTTCAGCTGTATCCCATCTAGACTTCACCCACTTCTCTAGCATGGTGAAGTCTAGATGAATTATTATTATTATTTTTTTTGTGACACTGTACAATAATAATAGTTGTGGTAATACTGTGAATTGTGACCTAAACTAAAACCCTAATAATTTGTCCACCTGCTAACATGTTGGTTTAAAGATTGGCAGCATGTTGACCACAATCAAGTGCATTGATTGGTTAAGAGTGCTTCAAGCACCAAATCCCTCAACTAATAATTGACCCCAGTCCATGTTGTAAAACCTCTCCAATGCTGTTGTTTGTCCATTCATTTCACAAAGCTCAGCTTCGGCGGCATCCCTCTTCCTGGAAAACCAGGCACGTTCCTGCGCAAAAACTTCCATGGCTGCATGGAGAACCTCTACTACAACGGCGTCAACATCATCGACCTGGCCAAACGCCGCAAACCACAGATCTACAGTGTGGTGAGGATGTTCATCTCGTACATTTATTATTGATAATCTCACACATTTGTTATTGTTGTTATGATCGGATATTTGAAAATAAGAAAAATGACCACAGGATTTGATGAATGAGCGGTCCTATCCTATCCTATTTATAATAAATGCTTCTTGACCCCAGTGTTTAGTGATTTTTTTTATTTCTGTGGAGAGATGCCAAAACGTTCTGCTGCACAGTTTGTGGATTATGATGAATTTTTGCAGTTGGGAGTGCAAACCGTGTTTATAAGGAGATTGATTTCTATTTTCGTTCTCATTAGTTTTTACCTGCATTTTTAACTCTGGCGTGGTTCTCTGTGGAACCGGGCAGCGAAATAGAGCCATTTCGAAGGGTTTTTTGAGCCGTCGCCAGTATACTAAGACAACACGAGGGAGCTTTTTAAGGGAATGAATTGTGGTTTTGTCCACATTATTCCCACGGCGCTGAGAGCGGTGTCATTAAAATATCTTTTACAAGGTGGGCAATCAGTCTCTGAGAGCTGCTAGAGCCTTGGATTACAGTACGCCTCATAAATGATCAGCTGACGAATACCTCATAAAATCAGCCTCTTGCAAAAAAAAAAAAAATGTCTGGGGACGAAATTACAGTCATTTTGAAATAAAAGAAGGGTTTTAATGAGAGGGATGTCTTTGTGTAATGACACGCTCATGCTTGTCTGAATACAACACAAGTGAGATGTCTAAATGTCTGTACTTTTTCGTATTGTTTGGGTACTTCATAGTGCTTAATCGTAGGCTAAAGTGATAAGTGATGAATTGTACTTTTTACATTTGACTTATATGGAATTTAAAGGATTTTAAGACAAAAAGACAATGGAATATAGATTGATCCGGATCTAGATTGACAGATTAAAATAGAATGATAGATAGATAGATAGATAGATAGATAGATAGATAGATAGATAGATAGATAGATAGATAGATAGATAGATAGATATATTGCATAAGGAGGCTAATAATATTGACCTTAAAATGTTTTTTAAAAACTGCTTTTATTCTAGCCGAAATAAAACAAATAACACTTTCTCCGTAAGAAAAAATATAGTAGGAAATACTGTGAAAAATTCCTTGCTCTATTGAACATCATTTGGGAAATATTTGGAAAAAAAATCACAGGGGGGGCGAATAATGTTGACTTCAAATGTGTATATATATAGTATATAGGTAAATGACTTATTTGTTATAGATTGATTTACAACTATAGATATCTACATCTAGTTCTATATTCATCTGTAACTAAATCTATAGTCATCTATGGTTGTATATCTGTAGTTCCTCTGTGCTATTGTCGTGGGGTTCCTCAGCAGGATCATGTACAATGGCTTGTTTTGCACTGTTCTGTCATGTCACATCAGTACAGCGTTGGACACCAGAGCTCAGCTAATCGCTCCAGCCATTAATCTGGATCCCGCATCCTTTAATGGACCGGCAGGGACTTCAGCAGGACTCTGTGCTAATGACGGAGACGACGAGTCCCGCAATGTCCCTGCCACCCTCTGAGGCTTTCACGGCAGACACTTTCACTCTCTCTCAATTATGCAGTACGGTTTCAGTCAGGCAAATATACAGGCTCCTAAGGGGCCTTTGGAGCCCAATTAGGGCCAAGCAATGAGGCATGCGGTCTCTTGAGTTACCAGTGCGATCATGGTGGGATTTAGAGCTGGTGTGGGATATATCATATTACAGATTACATGGGTCGAAAAGGTTTTTTGTAATGTCTGTGATATTGTGCATTATGATAAATGCTTGTCTGTTTGAATTGAGGAGTTTTGAGAGATTTGTTTTTTTTCATCCTATTGAAATATTTAAGCTTCTTGGCATCTACTTGAGAAGCAAAATGTAATGTATTATTCATTGTTTTCAGAGTATATGTAAGTTATTCATAGAGCTAAGTCTTAACCCATATCCAATAAAAAAAACAAAAACAAAACAAAAAAAATGTAAACAAAAAAGTAGGGTATTAAAGTTTATTAAAGAATAATAATTTAAAAAAAAAAAAAAAAAAAAAAAAAATATATATATATATATATATATATACCAGGGGGGTGCGTGGGTGTCGTGGACGAAACTGAAGAGCAGCGACGTCTTGGTACTAAAATAAAAAGCGACCGGCGGGGTCAGTGGAAAGTCATGGACTAAAAAGAGGAGCACCCGTGTTTTCTTGGACTAAAATGAAGAGCGGCCGGGGTGGTGCGTCGATGTCGTGAATGAAAATGAAGAGCAGTGATGTCGTGGACAAAAATGAAGAACAGCCGGGGGGTGGGTGGTCAGTTATGGATGAAAATGAAGAGTGGCCGGTGGCGTGGGTAATTAGTCATGGACAAAAATGAAAAGCAACCAGGGTAGTGCACGGGTGTTGTGGACTAAATTGAAGAGTGGCGATTTCATGGATGAAAATGAAGAGCAGCTGGGGGGTGGGTGGTTAGTCATGGACGAAAATGAAGAACGGCCGGAGACGTGGGTGGTTAGTCATGGACCAGGGTGCAACCAGGGTGGTGCATGGGTGTCTTGGATGAAATTGAAGAGTGGCGTCGTCGTGGACAAAAATGAAGAGCGGCCAGGGTGATGCGTGGGTTTTGTGGATGAAAATGAAGAGCGGCGATGTTGTAAACAAAATTAAAAAATGGCCAGGAGTGTGTGTGCGTGTCGTGGACGAAAATGAAGAGTGGCTAGGTGGGTGGGTGTTTGTCGTGGACGAAAATGAAGAGTGGCTGGGTGAGTGGGTGGGTGTTTGTCATGGACGAAAATGAAGAGCGGCCGGTGGGTGGTTGGCTGTCGTAGATGAAAATGAAGAGCGCCCAGGGGGGTGGGGGGTGTGTCGTAAAAGAAAGTAAAGAGTGGTGGTGAGCTGGGGGGTTGGAAATCACAGATAAAAGTCAAGAACTGGGAGGTGGGGGGAATTGAAGTTTTTGTGGTTCTAGTGGGCCCTTAACAGTATGTATTGACACACCGAAACGGCGTGGGCCCTTAGAATCATCCTAACCTACATTGCTAGGGTGTTCTGAGTAGTTACCGCCGGGTTGCTAGGGTGTTCTGATTGGTTGCTAAGGCATTGCTAGGCGGTTAGTAGGATGTTCTGTGCAGTTGCTGAGGTAAAATAAGTAATAATAATAATTTTATATTGTTAAATTATTATTTATATTTTATTTATTTTGTTTAAAAGTAAACAGGCATTTAAACAATATTCTTGTAAATATTATGATGAATTATATTATTTTGAAACCATTTATTTATTTATTCATTCTTTCATTTATTTTCTTGTCGGCTTAGTCCCTTTATTCATCTGGGGTTGCAAGTTTTTACCCAGCGGATGCCCTTCCAGCCGCAACACATCTCTAGGAAATGTATTTATTTATTTATTTATTTATTTGTTTGTTTATTTATTTTATATT